TCTGAGCCAACATTTTGGTTGCTAAGCAAGAGCGTTGTTAAGTGAGTTTCACCACATTTTACAAGTTGGCCACGCCTACCCAGTCACATGGCTGGTAAGCCACGCCCTCCCAGTCACATGGCCAGCAAGCCACACCCACCCAATCACATGGCCGGCAAGTCACTCCCACAAAGCAGGCCACATCGACACAAGAGGTTCTAAAAAAATTTGAAACCCACCACTGCCTACTACCTACCTTTGGATAGTTGCAGCCACACTTCGCACACCTCGGACGATTTCTTCTGCAGCCAGCAAGGCTTTCCTGAAGGCCTCTGTAGCTGATAACAGAGCTCCAGATTGATCACATGAGCGTCCCTTTTATTTGTTCTTACATTTCTCTTTTGAATGCGAAGAAGGTACGTTGACAGTATTGGAGTAGCTGCGTGATTTATGTCCCCCTTTTGGGCTGCTATGTGGATGACACGTTTGTCATCATCAAAAGAAATGCACCAATTTTCATATATGAACTCGTGTTGATCTCTTGTTTTCTAGCCTGATGCCTTAACCACTAGACCAAACTGACTCTCTTTTTCCCTTCCTGTTTTTCAGGTTATATTGCCAGGCTGCAAAGAGGGACACCATCTTTGCCTTGTCTTCCGGCCAAGGAAAATGTGGAGTGGCTGTGATTCGAACCAGTGGCCCGGCTAGCCGTTCAGCCTTGCTCTGCATGACTGGGACAAAGAAGCCACCACCTCCCAGAACAGCTACTTTACGTAGGATCTGTGATCCCAGCTCTTGTGAGATCCTGGACCAAGGCCTTGTACTATGGTTCCCAGGTTAGAATTTTAAAGTACCTAAGCAGTGGTGAAATTCAATTTTGTTTACTACTGGTTCTGTGGGCCTGGCTTGGTGGGCATGGTGTGACTTGCGGGGGCATGGTTTGGTGGGCGTGTCAGTGGAAGGATACTGCAAAATCTCCATTCCCATTTGAGTTTGGGGCCAGCCAGTTTGCCAGTTCTCCAAATTACTCAAAATGTTTGCTACCGGTTCTCCAGAACCCGTCAGAACCTGCTGGATTTCACCCCTGTAGCTAAGCATATCTATTGTATTGATTCTTGTCCAACATTAAAGTTTATAAAGTACATAATTCTCTGTTGTATTACCAATGTCCTTCTCAACTGAATAGATCTCTGATGGCATGCGAACTGTTGCCCCAGTTCAGCTGTGCCGCACATGCGTCCATGCATCCCACCAGGTAGCTGGCCTTTGGGTCTCTGCCGTACATGTGCGTGGGGGGTGAGGCAGGCTGCGAGAGCATGGACAGGGGTGCAGGGTGTATGGGGGGGGGTCACATGTGCAGGGCCCATGGGCGCATTGCATTTTGGGGGTTCAGGTCGTGCACGCATTTGCACATGCGCTTTGGGCACTCCTTCCGGAAAAGGTTACCACACTGGAATAGATGGATATGTAAAATAATTGTAAACCCCCCCCCCCAATGATAAGGTCAGAGTTCTAATATGAAAGCATTAGATTTTGGATACTTATTGAAGGGATCAAAGAGAGGGAAATGTTGGGTTCAGCTGTGCTAATAATTTTAAGAACTAACTGTATGTTATGGAGTTACGGTCACTTGTTATAATCAGTGAAGGCTGGACCTATCAAAATATAGAGGACTATGAAAATATGTGGAAACTATTAGCAAAACATGAGCTTAATGTGGGAAATCAGGAGAGTGTGAGTAAGCAGCTCAAGATTGCCACACTTTGATGCTCTGTGGTGTAAGAGTGAGAAAAAGAGAATGCTATTAGGTTTTCAGTACTATATCAGCCCTTCAAGGTAGATTAGGTATTGAAACAAATAAATGAGAAATATGGGAATTCTACTTCAGCTACATTGTGATAAGAGAAATTAATTCCTCTCTGTTGATTTAAAAAATCCACTATGTCCTAACGATTAATATGTCTCTATTAAGTATTAGGGACGCGGTGGCTCAGTGGCTAAGACACTAAGCTTGTCGATCAGAAAAGTCAGCAGTTCGGCAATTTGAATCCCTAGTCCGTGTAATGGAGTGAGCTCCCATTACTTGTTCCAGCTTCTGCCAACCTAGAAGTTCAAAAGCTTCGGCCAACCTAGCAGTGCAAGTAGAAAAATAGGAGCCACCTTTGGTGGGAAGGTAACAACGTTCCGTGCGCCTTCGGCGTTTAGTCATGCTGGCCACATGACCACGGAGACGTCTTCAGACAGCGCTGGCTCTTTGGCTTTGAAACGGAGATGAGCACCACCCCCTAGAATCGGGAACAACTGTATATATGTGCGAGGAGAACCTTTACATTTACCTATTAAGTATTAGAGCATTAGATACTGGTTAATAGTAGAATAATCCTCTTGGAAGCCCAACTTGTTCTTCCACCAGGAGGCTCTCATGTTCCAATCAATCTCTCCACTTCTCATTCACTCAAACACAAACACACACACACACACACGCACGCACACACAGTCTGACATTGCAACACATTTGCAGTTAATTAAGCAAACCGATGAGTCTGTAATTTGTTGAATTCCCTTTTGTAAAGATGGGAATTATCATTACAAGTAAATAGGCATACAGG